CTCTGGGCTGGCAGGCTTGGAACTGACACAGGCACTGTGGCCAGAGTCTTACATCCTTAAGGGCTCCGGGGAGAGCGGGGGCGGGGAGAGAAGTGTTCTTGGTTAAGGCTGGAGTGGCCACCAGGGCACCCTGGGAAGGCTGGAGACCCCTTATTTCAAAATTAGTGTCTACACAGCACTTATTTTGAAATAGCAATTTTGAATTTGGTGTTATTCCTCATAGAATGGGGTTTACCAAATTCAAAATAAGTGCTCTGCTATTTCAAATTTATTTCAAAATAGTGATTTGGCTGTGTAGACGCTAGGAAAATTATTTCTAAATAAGGGCTGTTATTTCTAAATAACTCTGCTGTGTAGACATACCCTCACATTGGATCCCTGTCATTCACCCAGCTTTTAGTACCCCAATTACCTCCAGCAGGTCCAACTGTGTTTGACCCCTGCTATGGAATCCTCTCTGGGAGTTGTAGCTCAGTGGTAAAAACAGTGACAGTAAAAAACTGCTTCAAAACAAAGTGTGATTCAGCTATAGGACCATGCCAAGCAACTTCAGGGGGTAGCTGAGTTAGTCTGTGCAGGATAAACTTAAAAAACAACAAATGGTCTGGTAGCACTTTATAGACTAACAAAACATGTAGATTGTATCATGAGCTTTCGTGGGCATAGCCCACTTCTTCAGATGACCGGGGTTTGGAGTTTAGAATATGCAGACCCAAAATAAATAGGGGAGTAGGGAGAGAGGGGAAGGAAAAAAAAGGAAGGGGGCAGTCTGAGAAAAGGGTTAAAATAACAAAAACATTGCCAATGGAATGCTTTCATTATCTACTACAATGACTTTAGAGGTAATAAGGTACTTTCATATCTGCAAAAAATTGTTTGCTTATTTGTAACTGTCCATGCCAAGGGTGTCTTATGGGACATAAGCCCTGTTGAGTTCACATATGTATTGTGTATGAATACACTAAGCCGTGAAAGCTATGGTAATTCATAATCCATCTTTTCATAATATAATAAGCTATTCTTCTTTATGCCAGAAGTGACTGAATCTTTGAATAAAATTAACTACAGTACCAGATTTGCTAACAGATAAGGGATCAAGGTTTCAGAAGCATCAAACGAAATGGATCTAATGGAATGGAAGTCAATGAAGTTTTATTAGAGACGAATGTGGATCTATGTTCCAAGCTATCTGATTTTTCCTAATGCAGAAGACAAGATAATTATTTTTAAAATTATGCACAGGCTTTTAATAGGCATGTGAGGATGAAAAAGCATCCATTTTTATTTGAAGCCATTTCTGGATAGCCTACATAATGCAGCATTTCATTTTAAAACACACACACACACACACACACACACACACACACACACACACACACACATTTATCCTACTCACTTCATGGGTTTGTGCAGGAAATTATTCTGTTATATCATTGCCCAGTATATAAAAACAGTTTACACTCATTAATGTTTCTGATTTTCTCTGCAGAATTGTTCTGCTCTGAGATAAACTGCATGACAAACAGATGGATTAAGTAATTAAACAGCTGATAAATATTTCGACAAAACATGCACCCGTAGACATTGAAGCTAGACTCAGTGGGACTCCTTGCAGCTGTTAAGTGTCCTTATTTGTGCATTCCTTGACTGAGGCCTTTAAAACATTAGGTCACAAACACAGTTATCAAGTCAAATGACTTGCGCTAGAAAATCTTTTAAAAAAAAACCACACACGTTGTGGAACAGATCTAGCATTGGCAAAGAGAATTCCAATTATCTTAAAAGTCTTAACAATGAACTTGTAAAATCATTTAAAATATAAATAATGAAGCCATTTGCTGACTAAGCAAGGTGTCAAGTAATGGATGCAGAAGCTTGAGAGGTGAGATAGTGTATCAGAGCTGAGAGAATATCTGTGCGATACAGTATTTGAACAATGTTGCGTTAAGTCACGAGGTGGAGAACAATAAATAAGGTATTGGCTTATTTGGGCCTACTTCTAAGAGGCCCCTGTTGTAGTCTGTGGGTACTGCATATGACTATATCTTGGAACAAAATTTGGCATTTTGCATCATGTGTGGAATTCCAGTGAAGCTTTAAAAAGAAGTGATTTACAGGTTGGACCTCCTTCGTCTGGCACTGCAGGGACCTGACCAGCCCTGAATGAGAGAATTTTACAGGACTGGGGAGGTCAGGCTGCCCCAGCAGGCCCCCTGCCTCGCCTGCCCCCCCACTCAACCTGACTGGGCTGCTTGCCCAGCTGCTGCCAGCTCCCCAGGCAACAGAGGCTCAGACTCCTGCTGCAGACCTCCAGCCCCGTGCATCCGGGGCCAGCTGCAGGACTTCAGCCTTGGCCCCGTGCTCCAAGAAGCTACTGGAGAACTCTGGTCCCGCACTGCCACAGGGCTCCAACCTCAGTCCTGAGCTCCCGGGGGTTGCCACAGGGCTCCAGGACTGCCGCAGAGCACCAACCCAGCGTGAACTGTGCTGCCAGGGGCTCTGTCCCGGCCTCATGCTGCTGCAGGATGCTAGAGGCTGGGGGGGGGCCGATCCTGTTGCCCTGGCCTTTTCTCCCAGCTGGCCCTCCTGCCCTTAGGCTCCTGGGCTCTCTGATCCAGGATGACGGATGTTGCTGGACCAGTCCAGAGAGTACCAGTTTTTGGAGGTACAACCTGTAAATATAAACTACTGAAGCCATATTGAAATAACTAATATGAAAAGGAGAATCCAGAAAGTCATTAACTATTGAAAAAAGGTTTTCTAGGAGTAGGGAGGTTGGGGGAGGGAGGAGAAGGGCCCCTGCTCAGAAAATAGATCATGGAGCTAGGTCAATGTGAAAAGAGAATAAGGATAACTTGAGTATTTTTTAAAGAGTGGGAGATTCTGGTTTTGACTGACACAAAGGGTGTGTCCAGACTATATCCCTCTTTCGACAAAGGGATGTATGTTAGACACTTTGAAAATGCAAATGAAGCCGGGATTTGAATTTCCGTGGTTTACAGGATCTTTTGAAAAAGGCCTCTATTTTTTAGAGAACCGCGTCTAGCCTGCGGTTTCACTTTCAAAAGAGCACTTTTTCTAAAGAGTGCCATGACACAATTATGCAAATGAAGCATGGGAAATTCAAATCCTGTCTTCATTTGCAATTTTGAAGTGTCTAATTTACATCCCTCTGTCGAAAGAGGGATGTAGTCTAGACACACCCTAAGAATAGAAGTATTGGAGGGTAATGAGGTAAAGGAAAAGCTATAGGTGACATTGGTGCCCTTCTATCATTAGAATTGAGGCTGGAAGGCTGAGGAGAAAGGGCTGATGATGGCCATGCAGTTCTCCTTCAAGTGATGGTCCATATTGTATTCCACCGAGGAGATTGAAAATATGTGCTTCCCTACCCTCGCTTATTTTCTCTTTGTGACAAGTATTGCTCCGGGGAGTCCTGCATCACGTACAGGTACAGCATCTTCCTCTCCTTTCCTGTCCATACGTGGGAAAGCTGAGGTCTTCAATCACTTCATGGAAGCCACAATGGCACTGAAATCACATCCTGGCCAGGGAATTGCCCCTACACATCAGCCTGAGCAACCTAAGAGCACTGCTCCTAGCATGGAACCTCTAGCTGGATCCACCAGAATCAGTGGTACAGACCCAATGCAGGGATCTAGCCATGGGTCATGCAAGCATGCTGATAAGCATGAACATAAGTCTTCCTCCAAGTCCAAGAGGGATGTTGCACTGTCAGTGAGTTCCAGGCATGGAGGAATGCGTTGTTCCAAAGCTCAAAAGGATGACAAAAGGGAGGAAGGAACACAGATTTTGAATCCCCCCTCCCCCCCATGGAATGTAAATAGGGATCATGCATCTCAAAGAGCTTCCAGTTGTGGCCATTTCATTCCTAGAAAAGATAAGGAAAGGGATGAGATGGATGGAGGAAGAAATAGAAGGGGGTAGTGAGTTTCAACGAGAAAGCAGGAGGATGAGATTTCTGAGTTAAGGCAGCAGTCAAAATCACAAGGAAGCACACAGCAAACTTCTCACTACCCTTAGCAAAGAAAAGAATGAAAAAAGAACAGTAACAATGGTTCACACTTACATAAAGCTATTTAACTTCCTTTACTAAAGGAAGAAACGCTGGAAGTAGAATATGAATGAAGTCCTATAGTAATCTATCGTAGCTAAAAAGCCCATTCTAGTTTAACTTGTAGAATACCAATAAATACAATTTCTCTTCAATTTATTTAACCTTTTAAGTAAAACCTAATCAAAACATTAAATTTCAGAACTACAAAAACTGGGATTTTGAGAAAAAAAGGAAAACCTGGTGAGCTGGAGGAATTCGAGCTCTTCTCACCCTTCTAGTTTTTGCCTGAGCTTTGACACACAAGATTCAGAGGGGTTTTTGGGAGGAGGGGTGTCAATTTCCTCTAGTTTTATTTTTTCACATACTATGTAAGTGGGTAATCAGTCAGTTCAGGCTTTTACTGTATGTCAGATGAGACATAAAAACAAGTACAGAACTAGGTTGTTTTAAGCTGGAATGAAATTAAATGTCCTTCATAAGGGTCTTTCGGAGCTCAGCATTTTGAAACCTCATAAAGAACACTACAGTTCTTTAAAATACTACATAGCAAATTCTCAGAGCACATCTGAAAAATTTGCTACAGACCTAACGTCTTAAAATTTCACCGTCTTCCAAGAGATGAGTGTCTTTCTCAGGTTCTCACTCTTGATTGATGGAATTCACCCTGTGAGGCAAAGCAGGACAGTTTTAAAGCTCCAGGCCTATTCACTTTTGTTTTCCTCCAAGGACCCTTATGCAAATATTTGGATTTTGGCACAATGCTTTCTCTTTATTATTACAGTGAAATACTTAACTGTGAGTGTACTGAGTGACATTCTGCTTTACAGTTACATGCAGTTAAGTCCCACAATGGAGACTTACCATTGTAAAATTGCCAAGTCTGTGTTAATGTGGTCTTTCCCTTTTCTTTTCTCTCCTGCAGCAGGCACGTATTTGGTATAGGAAGTCTGCTAAGCAGAACAAGCTTCATTTCCCATCTTCAAGGGATTCCCATTTCACTCCTTCACCAAGCTACATTCCTCATAGTCACAGATGTGCCCCTGATCAAACCAGTGAGCATCTGAAGTCAGCTGGTCAAATCAAGCTCCGTCGGGCAAATGGCCTTGGTCAGTTCCTTGGCATCTCCCAGCAGGACTTAAGAAATGGTGACCGAGGAGACCTCACCCGGCGATCCAGTAGTGTTTCCAGCATTTCATGGTCTTTTCAGCGAAGCAAGTCTCTGTTCTGCTTGCCCACAATGAGTTCCTCTCCAGCCTCTGACTCCTTTCACTTTAGTGAACCATTCCAGTTTTTCAATACTGGGTCACCTGTGAACAGGTTAAAAACATGGAAATGCAGCCCCAAACTTAATATTGAGGAGTTGGAGGGTTCACAAGAGACTGATGTCGACACGGGAATGAAGCTATCCTCAGATCTGTCCGTGGTCTCAGCCTACTCTACCTTTAATGGATTTTGTAGTGATTTGGAAGCGTCTCTTCCCTCACAAAGGCAAAGTGTCAGTAGATCTAAACAGGCTGTCTCCAGAGGAAGGCCGTTGTCAGCCATGTGCAGTACCCTCGAACTTCCTGGTGGTTCACTTCCATCTCTCTGCAAATGGTCTCCCAGCTTTTTCTTATCATCTTCAGCATCCCCCTTAGCATCTCATTGCCAACTCCAACAGTCACCAAGAGCAACCCCTTGTTTTTTGAACGATAGGAAACCCCCTGGCAGCATTCAGCCAGGCTCCCCAACTGACGAAGAGGAATTCTACATCTGAGCTTTCTCCATGCTGCACCTTTTAATGTAAAGTTGTGCATATGTGAATTACAGCAGTGCATTGCCACCATCTGAGCCATCTGGGCTGGCAAGTTCCTTGCTCCTTCCTGAGGACAAGGTATTACACCATTGTGTGCTAAATGTTGTAAAAGGCTTCCACACACCACCATAACGGATGCCTCAATTGTGTATCATAATACAAGGTGAGATTGTGTCCACTGGATTCATGTGGTGGGGATTCTCAACGTGTAGATCTGTCCATAGCTGTGCAGGTAAGGCATTTATGCTCAGAGGCCTTCAGCTCTTGTGAAGGGGGTTTGGGAAACTGACCCATAGCATGTAAAACAGGAAGTGCCCAGGGATGTGCATGGTAACCCAGTTCACTCTGACAAGCAGCTGTAAAGGTGCTGAAAATACAACCTCACGCTGCATTAAGTTATCCGAAAAATTCTCTCCATGCTGGCAAACCCTTCCCCGCCTCCTTCATGAGGTTGTAAAGGAAGCTGTGTAAAGGGGCGGCCCCCAGCAGCATGGCTTCAGTGGAGCCAGACAACGAGGCTGAGGACCCCAGAACCAGTGTTGATGCATAGGCCTCCAGCTGATCTTTGAGAATCAGCAGATTTGAGAAGACAACGTCTTGTTTGCTCCATGGGGAAGAAGGAACATTACCACATCCCCAATCTGATGGGCTGCTTTTGGGAAAATGCCATGAGAGAAACCGTGAGGAGCTTTTCTCCCCACCCTCTTCCCAAAATCAAACATATTTTTTCATTGTGTGGGAAGGGAGCAGTGTGACCGACAGAACTGCACTGCAGTTCCCTATTTTTACAGGTTTATTAGTTTAGTCGTAAAAAATTCACCTCATACATAAACTTGGTATTGGAGGTCCCAGCCCCATTTCTGTGTAAAATAAATCTCTAGCCAAACCTGTCTGAATTTTTAATTTATCCGAAGGAAAAAAAAAAAACATGTAGAATTGTACTGGCCTTTTTATTAGGTTACATTTTTGGCAAGATGTCACAGTATAATATGGCAAGCAGTTACAGTGTAATTACTTTGCTATTTTGGAAAAAAGTTTAAATGGAGAAGCCATTAGTCTGAGAAATGGTGAGTACGTTTATAAGGGTTCCTACCATCGATTCTGACGACATATCTCTGTGTTAATCAGTAATGACACTGAGTGCTGTTCTGGGCTAGACAAGAACACTACCTGGGTTAAAGTAGTGTATACAAATCTGTATCTAATCATAGACAAGTACAGCTGCAGAGGATCCACACTGATCAGTCAGTAAATAAGCCTATGGAGAAAAAAACCCCAATCTTGTGTGTATTACTCAGCAGCCTTACTCAGAACAATACTATTCATTTTAAAATAGCCTAAATAAATAATTACATAAGAGAATGGAACAGCTCCAAAACCTCCACTCTAACCCCCAAGTAAGTATACAGTTTATACCTTACCACAAATCATCCTTTAAAAATGCAGTCTAGAAGAATTAAGTATAAAATTATTCTGTTTAAGCACCACTAAAGTTGTAACCCAAATCTACAAAGGCAGGAAACTGACGGCCATGCTTGAAGGAATTGGCAGCTAATTCACTGACCCTCCTTTATGCTGTTAAGCATTTTTGCCCCCCACTCCCACCCCGGCAGTGCTAGAGAATGGTGCATCTGCTTCATCTGAGTTTCCTGCCTGTTGTCAGATACAAGACATCCTGAACTATGTGGAAACTTTGTCTTTTGCATTAACTATACAAATGGATTTTATTCCAGTTCTGGATACCCAGCTGAATATTATCATTTTCCCCACCACTACCACCCAGAACATTTGGGTTCACTCCAACTCTTGATAAACGACCCTACTCAGAGATTCTTGGAAACAGAAACAGCAGAAGTGAGGGATTCAACTTGGTGTTTAATGTGGACATTCAGACTCCAGCTGCCACTGAGGTTCTGAGACCTTTCTCCTTTGCAGGGTCTCATTACTGTTAGAGCACAATAGGCCTGGTTCTCCACTGTCATGGGCTACATGTAATTATTTACAGCCCTGCAAAGTATGGCATAAAACTCTCCACCATGGGCACCTCCAGGCAATTAGCTCTTTAGTGCTGGAGCGCCCCCTTCTGGCTGGTGTCATACCTGCTGTTATCCATGTCCCTCACAGCATGTAGCATCCTTCCTCTGGATACTGCCCTGCCACAGTGCCCCCAAACTCTAAGGTCCTCCTCCTCTGGGAATCCCCAACCTCCTATGCCCTCCTTGCCTCAGTGACCCACGGCCACTCTTCATCTAGCCCCTTATCTCAGGGGCAAACTGCAGTCTGAAATGGCCACTCACCATTGGCAAGGGAGTGTGGACATGCTGCCTTTGCCTACCCTGGCTGCCTCTCCGCAGCCCTTGTACCTTCGGACCTTGCTTCAGGCCCTACAGCCTGGGAGTTTGCCTGGCCAGAGCTTCCCCAGGTCCCCTCGAAGTCAGGAAGCTTCCCTGACAACCAGGTCCCTCCTGCTCCATTAGCCACTTTCAGATATGACAATAAACAGGAAAGATTTGGCTCAACCTAATCAAAAGAGTGTCATTTGTTATTTGGGAAAAAGCAAATAAAAATATTGTTAATACTTATACAAAATTGATCAGAGCATGGAATTAAAAGATCTTCAGAGAACTGACTTCAGCTGACATGACTATTAGTTCCTGGAACAATATCAGTATTCACACTCCTGACAGAAGCTGGCTTGTTCTGCTAATCAAAGAAAAGACTTGAAAATATCTGTCAGTCTACAGTGTGCCTTACGATTGGAGTTCAGCATATCTGAATGCAATAGCCTGACTTAATCGGAAGTATTGATGATGTTGAATGGCTGCATATTAGCACAGGATAGCAAATTACCAAGTAGCAACTAATACGGTGTTAACATATGGGAAAGGGAACATCTAAACTCCAGATTCTTATCTCACAAACCAAAATAGGAAGGAAGCTGAATTAATGTTAATAGACTCAGAAGAGATAATATATATTGTCTCAGATGGTTCTGTTTCTCCAACTACTTTGACACTGTTTACTGCTATTTAACTAGAAATTAATGTTTGAATTTTTTAAGTTCTAGATGAATAATTCATGGGGTGTGTAACAACATTTTGGAATCACAGAATCCTCCATTCAGAGGAATAATAGTATTGTGATGAGACCTTTTATGTTACAACAATAAAAGTCAGCTTTTGAAGTGTTTTTCGGTGAAGAGAAGTTTTATTAGTTCCCTTTTATATCATTTAAAAGGGAGTTGAACTTATCTAGATAACTGGAGATGCACAAGGCTTGTTCTAAGGCATTTTGCTTATGTATTATATCACTGTTGATATTTTATGATCAGAATCAATAGAAAATTGCAGATTTCCCCTTAACTTCCTGTCTTCTCCCATGCCAGCATGTGTTTCTTTTATCTAATAAAATAGAGACAGAAAGTTAATTGTATTTAAACTGCTGTGTGTTCATTTATTAAAGACAGTGGACTCATATTGGTCACTTTGGCTAGGCCTTCCTCACATTCCAAAATACCACTGTATCAGACATAAACACATTACTTCTGGGGAATGTTGATCAATAAAGCAAATATAAAATAAATATAGCCCTAAATACAAACAAAGGTTGTTACTTACTTTTGACACACATTTCCATTTCCAAACACGTCTTATTTCTCTTTTCTTCTTGTAAATTGATTAGCCCTGTAAAGCTAAATGACTAACAGAGCTTATGAAAAAATTTACATACGTGACTCCCACTTCACTTTGTCTCCTGTATTAGAATAATAGAAATGTAAGGCTGTAGGGTTGAGAGGTCGTCTAGTGTAACACCTAGTACACCTAGGCCATTTCTGAAAGGTGTTTGTCTAGGCTGTTCTGAAAAACCTCTAATGATGGAGATTCCACAAACACCCTTGAAAGCCTAAGTCCAGTGCTTACTTATCCTTTACAAAGCCACAAATTTTAATCTCTACTCCATTGTCTAGGTTATTCATGTAAATATTGAAATTTGGACCGGTGGGTGGGAGAAGCAATAAACCAGACACATCTTGACAGGGTTAGCTCCAGGCAGGTTGCTGGTGCTTCATTTACCTGCACCTCTGCAGATATAGTCACTTGAAGCTCCCATTGGCCGCAGATCGCTGTTTCTGGCCAATGGGAACTGTGGAAGGTAGTGTTCGGGCCCATATCGTTTCCCAGAGCTCCCAGTCTTTCCACTAATTTTGCACCTTCTAGTAATGTCATTTAGTCTTCTTTTTTAAAGCCCATTGTCTTTACAGGGAGTCCTCTGACTTATGACATCCAACTTACGCTGGACTCTACTTATGACATTTTTCAGCTGACTGCCTGTTTTTCCTCTACAACTCTTGTTTTGCCCTTAGGGTGAAAGCCAGCAGGGAGAAGAGCAGACATCAGCTGAGCCTTAGCCAATCACTGATTTCACTGTTCAAGTTTTCTGCTTGATTGAGTTTGGGGCCAGGAACCAATCAAGAACAGGTGGCAAGGCTACCCTGACTGTGGAGCCAATCAGACAAGTGACTGCAAGAGACCCCTTCCAGCTCTGTTCTGGACAGTCAAAGCATACGTGATTTTATGTGTTTATTTGAATGTGGTTTACCGAATCAATACATTGATGTTACTACATTAGCCAGCTATAATTCATTTAGTACAAAAATCTAGGTTATTGTGGTGAAAATAGTGTATCAAGCCTTGGTTTGGGAACCAATTCCCATTGATTCCTATGGGAACAGCAATTTCAACTGACAACGTTCCAACTTACAATGAAGTTCTGATGAGTCTGTATTCTGCTGCTCTCATTCCTTCTTTTCCTTAGAATCATGAAATCTATCATTCCATGATCACTTTCACCTAATTGACTTCAACCTTCGGATTCACAACTACTTCCTCCCTGTTGGAAAAATAGCACTTCTATTTTTTATTGCCTTTGTTTTTTGTCCCATGGTGACACTATGACAGTCTCTTTCTAGCTGGCAATGGTCATTCATCATCATGGAATATGAGTGCATCCCAGAATTGCACAGTGTACACAAAGATAGAGAGGGAGTCACCAGGTTATAGTGACTAAGGGCTTGCTACATTTCCATTGTAACCAGTGGGAGTTTTGCCATTGACCTTAATGGGAGCAGGATCATACACTGCAGAAGTATGTTTTGCATGCCACACTGAACGTGTTGAGATTCGTGGTCATACTGATCTCTTGGGAGTGATTTTCAGATCCCACGTCCTGCTTTCTTGTACCTGACGGTGGTCCAGCAGAATGTAGCTTATGAGGTCATAGAATCATAGCACTGGAAGAGACCTCAAAAGAGCATGTAGTCCAGTCCCCTACACACATGGTTTGGAATAGTTTAGTGGGGCATAATTAGTGGCTGCTGCTAAGGTGGAGGAAACAAGGCAATTGCAGAGTCCTGCACTTAGGGTGGAAGAAAACAATGCACAGCTACAGGTTGTGGACTGCCTGCCTACTGGGCAGTTCTGCAGAAAAGGACCTGAGGATTACAGCAGACAAGAAGCTGGATATAAGTCAAGAGTGTGCCATTCTTGTGAAGAAGGCTAATGGAATATTGGGCTGTACTAGTAGGAGCATTGCCAGCAGATCTAGGGAAGTGATTATTCCCCTCTATTCAGCACTGGTGATGCCACATCTGGAGTATTGCATCCAGTCTCCCTCCCCTACCCCCACTACAGAGAGGATGTAGACAAATCAGAAGCCAGCAGAGGGCAACAAAAATTATTGGGGGGCTGGAGCACACAATTTATGAGATGAGGCTGAGAGAACTGGGTTTATTTAGTCTGCAGAAGAGAAAAATGAGGGGCGGGGGATTTGCTCACAGCCTTCAACTATCTGAGAGGGGGAGAGGGGTGCCAAAGAGGATGGAGAAAGGCTCTTCTCAATGGTGGCAGATGTCAGAACAAGAAGCAGTGGTTTCAAGTTGCAATCAGGAAGGTTTAGGTTGGATATTAGGAAAAACTACCTCACAAGTGAAGCATTGGAATGGATTACCTAGGGAGGAGGTGCTAGCGCCATCCTTAGAGGTTTTTAAGGCCAGGCGTGACAAAGCCCTTGATAGGATGATTTAGTTGGGGTTGGTCCTGCTTTGGGCAGCGGTTTGGTCTAGAGGACTTCTCTTCAAATCCTAGTTTTCTATGATTCGATGAAAGATGGGATTTCTTTGCTTCGCTCAAGGGCATAGGCTCGCAAGAATTCCTTGTATCAGATCCTTTCCTCCTGCAGGCTCAGTTTTTTTTCTTTCTGTTTTTACACAGTTCATCAGGGACATAGAGGTATGTGCTGGCAGTCTGGAGGAGTGGCCTTCATATCAGAGTGCTAATGGCTGCAGTTAGTGAGAGGTTATGGTGACTAAGAGCTTGATACAGCTTCCATTGTAGCCAGTGGGAGTTTTGCCATTGGCTTAAATGGGAGCAGGATCAGATTCAACTGGGTTTTCTATTCCATGCCCTTCCAGTTAAGGTGGATTTGCCTGCATGGGTGTTTATAATGTGACAAGGTTCATGAGTTTCTGAGGAATGGGCCATAATTTTGGTGGTTTCACAGAATGTGTACAGCCTTTTAAATGCCTGCACTTGCTCTAATATGAAAAGATTCCGTGCATGTAGGTGTGTATAAGATTGTCTAGAATATTATTTACACCATGTTACTACCTTTGTGAGATTAGGTCACTGCATGTGGCATGTCTGCCATGTGCCGGAGATAGAAATTACTGGAATAAACTGACCACTCAGTGTATGTTGCCTCGGCAATGGATATAGTATGCTGTACTGCTCTTGTACAATTCTCTTGCTCATGCTCTTGTAACATGCCTGCCAGGAAAGGATGGACAAAGAGACACCTAGAAAGCAGCACCCTTCATGAGCACAGTGTGGCGAGGTATTTGCTTTTACACATCAGCCTGTGATCTGAAATATACACTTATCCATGGGTGGCAGGTAAAGCTTCCTCTTGGGATGCTAACCTCCTGCCTGGCCTCTTCTCCATTCTAGGCCTTGCCCCTACTCGCTGCGCTCTAACACACATACCCACACTCTGGCACAGAGAGGAACAGCTCTGGCACAGCTCAGCCCTCCCCCACATCGCCCCAGCCAG